TTCTGCACTCGACTTTACGGAAATGTTAATAAACATAAATTGTCACTATCAGTGGGATTACACTTTTCATGTTGGTCGACGGTGGATGAAAAATCGAGACCAATTCTTAACCACTATTGTCGGTATCATCATACTATGATTCTGTGGAATGAGGGAAATATTAAACTGCAGAGTGTGTCATATAGCACAAACCAATCATTCGTAAGACGATCATTGTATAAATTAGGTACAAAAAGGAATGCTTCCATCGTCAAAGATGACCCATGTTTAATACTAAGAGACTATCTGGAAACGAAAAGAGACGTCTAAATCTATGGCATAAGCTCAAATTCTGTTCAGACACAAATTGTAATGTGCCCCAATTTTGAGTCTTCTCAAAAGAAAATAGTTTTCGCTTTGCATATGTGATCGGCTTTATGATTTCGAACGACACACATCCCCATGTTCTGCGTTGCTGACGGAAGAACCAAATAGCTGAAAGAACTCTTATTGATTAAAGATTAGGGTTTTTGAATGTTGTAATTTGAAATCAACGTGGGGGATGTTTGGTGCAGTGCAACGAAGTGTTCTAAATTTAAATAATTAATTAAAATAAATGATTAACATAAAAATGATAAGCGTACATGTTCTGTGTACATTTATGATAGTAGAGCATACAGGATCGCAAAAGCTAAAATATATGCCTCCGAGGCGGCAAGGTCTTGAACCCAAATTGACTGACCAAACAAACGCTGTATCCTGCAGCATTTGTACTACCATCAAAACCGTTACCCCAAAGATGTAGGTATCAATGATGAATAAAAGGCAAATAAAGACTCAGCTGTATGCAGCTGCTTTGCAATGAACTCGGAGCAGACTGGCAATTGGTTAAGGAAATCAATAGACGTGAGTGAGTCGTTTTATTGGTGATTGACAGACAACAGTAGGAATTTATCGAGTGTGTGGTGGGTTATTGGTTATGGTTTAAAAACTGTTGACGAGGCCAAAAAGTCTTCTCGGCGCTTTTTTAAACCAAAGGCTCTACTGAAAATGACCTTTGGTTTAGAAAAACTTCGTCGTGAGCATAAAGTGAGCGGAATCGAAGTTTCTGCTAATGGCAATGTGGATATGCAGTGAGGATTAAGCAAAACGTATTCAATTACTTGATTAAAGGTAGACAATTTTGCCATAAGGAGCTCAAAAGTATGGGATTAGACAAGAACTGTCCTTCCGCGTCGATATGTTCATTCGCAGTCGCTTCGCAACGGTCTGTTTCATTCATCGGTAACATTTAAAGTTCTATTTCAATAACGCAGTTGAATTTCGGCCTCCAATCACATATTCATGGTATAGTGACGAATTCGGTTTGTGGCACTTTACAGTGGTAATCCCATAGAACTCATCTTTCGCAAGGGGCATCGATCCAACACGTCTTTTGTCTCGTTACGGAAATTACGAATGATATAAAGAGGAAAAGAACTAAACGTACAAACAGGTAAGCATCTGTATTAAAACGTTTCTGCTTATTGAATTAACCGTTCAAATTATATACGAATTTAGTGTATATTGGTGGTGTTATTATTCAGCCAAGCCACGCATCAAAAGTCAACGCTTTTCAGAGGTCGCTATGGAAACTGTGGCTGACACAAGCAAAAGAGGCTGAGGTTGTTGATGAGTCAACTTTCATTGCAGGTCGGCAAGTCGCGATACAGTAGTAAACATAAGTCATTCGTTAGTCAGATTCTTTCTTTAAAACGGGGTAGCGATGTATTAAGTTTCGTTCTGTCCAAAGAGTCCTTGATATGTCAAGAGTTTTTTTTACAACGCATGCATGCACCTGTGACGACTAGTATTAGTGCCAGCGATACGTATTGAATAGCTCTGCCTAACAAGTATGCTTACGTAGCATAATAATAAAGCTTTAATGTACTTTCGTCAAACGCAGTATAAATACATACACAACGCATTTAAAAAGTGGGGAACCAACCTGAAATCTTGATGGAGAACAACGCGTCACGTATAAGGACGGGTGAGCGCGTCAGCAAAGAG